CCAATGTCGAATAGAGGGGAATGATCACGTCCCTCATTCTGCTGGCAATGCTCCTACTTTTACAGCCCAAAATGCCATTAGCTTTCTTGGCAACAAGGGCACACTGTTGATCATATCCAGCTTCTCATCCACTGTAACCCCTAGGTCCTTTCCTGCTAGGGTTACCAGATGTCCCGATTTTATAGGGACAGTCCTGATTTTTGGGTCTTTTTCTTATATAGGCTCCTATTATCCCCCACCCCGTCCCGATTTTTCACATTTGCTGTCTGGTCACCCTATTTTCTGCACAACTGCTGCCTAGCGACTTGGTCCCCAGTCTGTAGCAGTGCATGGGATTCTTCCATCCTAAGTGCAGGACTCTGCACTTGTCCTTGTTGAACCTCATCAGATTTCCTTTGGCCCAATCCTCTAATTTGTCTAGGTCCCTCTGTATCCTATCCCTACCGTCCAGCATATCTACTACTCCTCCCAGTTTAGTGTCATCTGCAAACTTGCTGAGGGTGCAATCCACACCATCCTCCAGATCATTAATGAAGATATTGAACAAAACCAGCCACAGGACTGCCCCTTGGGGCACTCCGCTTGATACCAGCTGCCAATTAGACACGGAGCCATTGATCACTACCCGTTGAGCCTGATGATCTAGCCAGCTTTCTATCCACCTTATAGTCCATTCATCCAGCCCATACTTCTTTAACTTGCTGGCAAGAATACCGGGGTAGATGGTATCAAAAGCTTTGCTAAAGTCAAGGAATAACACGTCCACTGCTTTCCCCTCATCCACAGAGCCAGTTATCTCGTCATAGAAGGCAATTAGGTTAGTCAGCCATGACTTGCCCTTGGTGAATTCAAGCTGACAGTTCCTGATCACTTTCCTCTCCTCTGAGTGCTTCAGAATTGATTCCTTGAGGACCTGCTCCGTGATTTTTCCAGGGACTGAGGTGAGGCTGACTGGCCTGTAGTTCCCCAGATCCTCCTTCTTCCCTTTTTTAAAGATGGGCACTACATTCGCCTTTTTCCAGTCATCCGGGACCTCCCCCGATCGCCATGAGTTTTCAAAGATAATGGCCAATGACTCTGCAATCACATCCGCCAACTCCTTTAGCACCCTCAAATGCAGTGCATCCAGCCACATGGACTTGTGCTCGTCCAGCTTTTCTAACTAGTCCAGAACCACTTCTTTCTCCACAGAGGGCTGGTCACCTCCTCCCCATACTGTGCTGCCCTGTGCAGTAGTCTGGGAGCTGACTTTGTTCATGAAGACAGAGGCAAAAAAAGCATTGAGTACATTAGCTTTTTCCACATCCTCTGTCACTAGTTGCCTCCCTCATTCACTAAGGGGCCCACACTTTCCTTGACCTTATTCTTGTTGCTAACATACCCGAAGAAACCCTTCTTGTTACTCTTAACATGTGACGGTTATGTTGACTTTCTGTGATGTGTCCACCATGAATTGGACTGAGACCATCTACCACTTCACAGCAGAGGATGTGGGGGAGATCCTCACACCTAAGCCATTCTTTTTAGGTGACAAATCTGAGGAACTGTCTCAGACTGAGGTGTCAATACAAGACATTTTGGAACAACTGATAAATTAAATAGTAATAAGTCACTAGGACCAGATGGTGTTCACCCCAGAGTTCTGAAGGAACTCACATATGAAGTCACAGAACTACTTACTGTGGTATGTAACCTATCACTAAAATCAGCTTCCATACCAGATGACTGGAAGATAGTTAATGTAATGCCTATTTTTTAAAAAGGCTCCTGAGGTGATCCTGGCAATTACAGGCTGGTAACCATACCTACGGTATCAGGCAAATTGTTTGAAAGTACAGTAAAGAAAAAAATTATTACATGCACAGATAAACATGATATGTTGGGGAAGAATCAACATGGCTTTACTAAATGGAATGCCTCACCAATCTAGCAGAATTTTTTGGGGAAGTCAACAAGCATGTAGACAAGAGTGATCCAATCTATACAGAGTACTTTGACTTTCAGAAAGCCTTCAACAAGGTCCCTCACCAAAGATTTTAAAGCAAACTAAGCAGTCATGGGATAAGAGGGAAGGTCCTTCCATGGCTCAATAACTGGTTAAAAGATAGGAAACAAAGGGTAGGAATAAATGGTCAGTTTTCACAAAGGAAAGAAGTAAATAGCAGGGTCCCACAAGGATCTGTACTGGGACCTGTGCTGTTCAACATATTCATAAGTGATCTGGAAAAGGGAGTGAACAGTGCGTGGCAAAATTTTCAGACGATACAAAATGACAGTTAAGTCCAAAGCAGACTGCAAAGGGATCTCACTAAACTGACTGGGCAAAAAAATGGCAGATGAAATTCAGTGTTGATAAATGCAAAGTAATGCATATTGGAAAAAATAATCCCAACTATATATACAAAATGACGGGATCTAATTTAGCTGTTACCACTCAAGAAAGAGATCTTGGAGTCATCATAGATCGTTCTCTGAAAACTTCAATGTGCGGCAGCAGTCAAAAAAGCTAACAATGTTAGGAACCATTAGGAAAGAGATAGATAATAAAACGGGAAATATCACGCCTTGAATAATTTGTGCAGTTCTGGTCACCCCATCTTTAAAAAGATATATTAGAGTTGGAAAAGGTTCAGAGAAGGGCAACAAAAATTATTAAGGGTGTGGAACAACTTCCATACGAGAGATTAAAAAGACTACTATTGTTCATCTTAGAAAAACGACAACTAAGGGGAGATAGGATAGCAATCTATAAAATCATGAATGGCATGGAGAAAGTGACTAGGGAAATGTTATTTACCCCTTCACATAAATACAACAACTAGAGGTCACCTGATTAAATTAATAAACTACAGTTTAAAACAAACAAGAGGAAGTATTTCTTCACACAACACACACTTAACCTGTGGAACTCATTGCCATGGGATGTTGCATAGGCCAAGTATAACTGGGTTCAAAAAAGAATTACATAAGTTAATGGCGGACTGGTCCATCAATGACTATTAGACAAGACAATCAGAGATGCTCTGGGTGTTCCTAAACTTCCAACTGGCAGAAGCTGGGACTGGATGGATTACTCGAAATTGCTCTGTTTTGTTCATTCCCTCTGAAGCATTTGGTACTGGCAATTGTCAGAGATAGGATACTGGGCTAGGTGGATCATTGGTCTGACCCAATATCACCATTCTTATGTAATAATTTTAGATAGACCACTGAGTGACCATCAGATGTTAACAGCTTCTTGCAGTCATTATTTACCTGGTCTAGATGTAAATCAGTAACCCAGTAGTGAAAGGGTCTATTACTAATTACCAGTCTCCCAAGACATCAAGTCTCTTGGAATAGTGGAGGGAGGAGTTTACTACTGTTTATTGTTTGGAATACCCCTTCAACAGTTTGAAAAATAGAATATCTTCAATGGCGTGAGAGATTTTTAAGATAAATATGTTTAGAATCTGAGGGGTAGCCGTGTTACTCTGAATCTGTAAAAAGCAACAGAGGGTCCTGTGGCACCTTTGAGACTAACAGAAGTATTGGGAGCATAAGCTTTCGTGGGTAAGAACCTCACTTCTTCAGACTTGCATCTTACCCACGAAAGCTTATGCTCCCAAT